GCTCCTGATATTAGAGGAAAAGCTTTCAGCTTTTCACTATTGTGTTTGATGTTAGCTGTGGACTTGTGATATATAGCCTTTATTATGTTGAGGTATATTCTCTTTATACCCAATTTCTTGAGAGATTTTATCATGAAAAGATATTTTGTCAAATGCTTTTTTGCATCTATCCAGATAATCATATGATTTTTATCTTTCGTTTTGTTAATGTGTATAGCACTGACTGATTTGTAGATTTGAACCATCCTTACATCTCTGGAAAATCCCACCTGATCATGGTGTATGATCCTTTCTAATATACTGCTGAATTAGCTTTTCTAATATTACACTGAGTATTCTTACATCGCTGTTCATATTGGCCTCTAATTTTGTTTTCATGTAGTGTCCTTGTCTAGCTTTGGTATCACATTATGCTGGCCTCATAAAATGGGTTGGAAGTGTTTTCTCCTCTTCTGTTTATTGGAAGAGTTTGAGAAGGATTGGTATTAATTTTTCTGTTGATTTTCTAGAAGCCCTCTGGTCTTGGCTTTTGTTTTTGGGAGATTTTTGATTACTGATTCAATTTCATTACTAGTAATCAGTCTATTCACATTTTCTCTTTCTTCCTGATTCAGTCTCGGTAGGTTGTATGTTTCTAGGAATTTATTCATTTCTTCTGGGTTTTACAGTTTGTTGGTTTATAGTTGTTCATAATCGTCTTTTATGATCCTTTGTATTTCTGTACTATTAGTGGTAATGTCTCCTTTTTCATTTATAATTTTATTAATTTGAGTCCTCTCTCTTTTGGTAAGTCTAGGTAAATGTTTGTCTAGTTATCTTTTTAAGAAATCAGCTTTTAGTTTCTTTGATCTTTTCTATTGTCTTTTTAGTTTCTGTTGTATTTATTTACACTCTGATCTTTGTTATTTTCTTCCTTCTACTAACTTTTGGCTTCGTTTATATCTCTTTTTCTAATTACACCTCAGGTGTAAAGTTAGGTTGGCTTTTTGATCTCACCTTCTTAGAACTGTCTTTGTTGCATCCCATACGTGTTGGTATGTTGTACTTCCCTTTTCATTTGTGTCAGGCTATTTTTTGACTTCCCATCTGTTTTTTTCCTTTGACCCATTGGTTGCTCAGGAGCCTGTTAATCTCCACATATTTGTGAATTTTCCAGTTTTCTTCTTGCGGTGGATTTTTTCTATTTACTGGACATGCCAAGTATAATCCCTTCTCAGAACCTTTGCCCTGTTACCATTGCTTGAAATACTCTTTTTCCAGATATCCCATAAATGGTTCCCTCACTTTCTGTCTATTGATAAATACCATCCTTTCTCCTCACCTCTCCCATTATTACTCTCTCTGACATATCAATCAGTCAATCAATCATATATTTTCATCTCCTTATCTTGAACAACACTGCCCTATACAATTTTCTGTGATGATGGTAATATTCTATATCTGCAGCGTCCAATAAAGTAGCCACTAGCCATAATGTGACTATTAAGTATTTGAATGTGACTGTCTAATTTTATTTAATTTAAGTAGCTACATGTGACTAGTGACTCTTTATTGTATAGTGCAGGTATGGAATGTATGAGAAAGGGAGGCTTGTTTTTTTTTTTTTTTTTTTTTTTTTTTGCGGTACGCGGGCCTCTCACTGCTGTGGCCTTTTTTTTTTTTTCTTTGATGCATCCCGGTAGCTATGTGCATGTAGATACTCTGTGTAGTAGATATTCTGTAAATAGCTGTTGAATAAATAGATGAACAGTGATACCCATCAATCCTGTTTATCTCTGAATTCTTAACTCTTTTAATCTATAATTGCGGACTGAACGCTTTTTAGTCATCTCCAGACATTCCCAAACTTTAGGTGTTCAGCAATGGTCCTGTAGGTCCATGGGACCTCCTCACAAAGTTCTGCATTATACATCAAAGATCCTAAATTGTATAAATTATATAAATTAGACTGAAGCATACTGGGCTATATGGGTTACAGATAAAGGAAAATGCAAGGTGTAGGAGGTGGTCTTCTCTATCACAGAGTTCATATTTGGTGAAAGTATTAATTGAATGAATCTTTCCCTTTTGTGTTCTAGCCAGGCATCCATGTGAGTCATGCTTTTCCCAAGACTAAAGAGCCCCAAATCTTTCCCTTTGCTCTCTTTATTCTCCCAAATAAGAGCTCTTTCAGCTATCCCTGAATATAGTATCCATCATGAAGTTTGAAGAACCATACAATAAGCTGCTCCCACTAGCCCATTCTTATGACAAAATCCTCATGGCTGTTATCCTTATGAAAAAGTTCTTATAGTTGAAAATCCTCATTGCCACACTCCATAATAATAATTACAGTTTTGGAGATGGGCTTGGCAGTTAGATGCTCGTAAAACTTAAAAACGAAAGTAGAATTTAAAAGAAAGTTTGAATAACACAAATGTTGGGTCATTGGTTTTCAATTCCAGTGGAGCTTCCATGGAGCTTCCTTCAGGAATTGATACCAAGACCTCAACTCACTCATACTGCCTATCCCCAACATTTCTTCAGCCATGTTTTATGTGTATGTGCCATTGTGCAAAATTATTTTATTTGTCAAAGGGCTCAACTTTGAAAAGTTTGCAAATCACTGCATCTAGCCCTTCATTTATTGATTACCTCAGTAAGACTTTTGAAAGAAGCCAGAGGGCAGTGAGTTCAATGTTGAGTTTTCTGACAAAAGGGTAATCAGTGTTGCTGGTTCAAAGGTCATGTATTTGGTTTGGATGCAAGGAGCACAGGTAATGAGATTGGTATTATTATGAAAAATTGGTGAGTAGGACATGTGTTCCTATAGGGTCTTATAGGCAGGGGCTCAAAAAGTAGTTTTGGTTTCTTTAAATTAAGCAAAGCTTGTTTTTGTAAGTAGCAGGAAAACAGAGATCCACAGCAAGCTTTTCGATTATGGCTTAAAAAAAAGCACGAAGAACAGTTGAAAGAAAGAAAGATAGAAGAACTGCGAAAGCAAGAGGAATGCTTATTCTTCTTTAAAGGAACAGAAGGCCGTGAAAGGGCCTTTAAACAGTAAGTCAAAGGCAGGGCATTTTTCCCCCTTCCTCATGGTCATTTTAGAAAGTTATATAGTCAATAAAACTTAAAAAAATTGATCTCGTTACATACCTATTCAATTTTAAAGCCACAGTTTTAACAATATGTGAGAAAATTCTTTAACTCCATACTTTGCGTAATACCTATACCATTTTTTCAAGGTAGTTTTCAATACTAAAATTGTTTCTTATGGCACCAGTGTGATAACCTTTGATAGCTTACCATTGATTGGTTGATTGATTTGTTCATTTCTTAGAGAAATAGGCCAGAGATTGGTTACAGCTTCTCCTACACAGTCCTCAGGAAAACTTAATAAAGAGTTGCATTTACCAATAAATATTTTTCTGTAAAGAAAAGCAGTCAGGCTGAGGAGGAAGATCTGTACAGACCAAATGAAAAGGAGATTTGGACACATATTTTGGTAACTTAAGGCAAACCTGGTCTCCCTTCAGTTGCCTGGGTAAGAGTCTGTATTACCCGGTTTATTCTGAGGAAACAGACCTGGCTTCAAAATTTTGCCAGCATACCTTGGGAGAGGGAGTGAATATTGTGTCCAGTTGTTTGAAGCTCACTTCTTTCTTTCTTTTCTATCTTTTTTGCTATCTTTCTCTTTTTTAGTTTCTTTGCCTCTTTCTTTCCTTTCCTTCTTTAAAAAATATACATATCCTTTTATTATAATAGATGCAGTGAATGTGCATTGTGGAAATGGAGGGGAATAAACTCACATTTTCATCACCCAGGAATCACTATTGTTAGCACTGTACTGCATAACTTCTAGATATTTCTCTGTACATATATTTACAGTTTTAAAATATAAATTGAGATCATACTGTATATACTGTTCTGCAATCTGCTTATTTTTGTTAATGAGCTCATCTAATATCCAACCTATAACCATTTTTTTCCCAATCGACCCCTAAATGACTACAGTTAATTTGCTCAAACTGATATCCAATTTCAAAACCACACAACATTAGATTATGAGGTTTCTTAAGTCTCTTTTATACTAATGCAGTTATTTATTTGACTGGATTTATTTCTGAAAAAATTATATATATACACACACACCACGTACACACTTTCATACCAGAGATGTGAGTATACAGTTAGTTTTTTGTTTTTTGTTTTTTTTTTTTTTTGCGGTACGCGGGCCTCTCATTGTTGTGGCCTCTCCCGTTGCGGAGCACAGGCTCCGGACGCGCAGGCTCAGCGGCCATGGCTCACGGGCCCAGCTGCTCCGCGGCATGTGGGATCTTCCCGGACCGGGGCACGAACCCGTGTCCCCTGCATCGTCAGGCGGACTCTCAACCACTGCGCCACCAGGGAAGCCCTACAGTTATTTTTAATGTTATTTTACCTAAGCAAGTTTTATAGACAAATTTGTTAGAATGTGGACGCTTCCTTCACCCTTTTTGATGTTTCTTATGCTTAGGCTTATTTTTCCATTTTAAGGGAGAACTATTTTATGCACTGAAAAGCAAGAGCTCTATAATTTCTTCACCAAGAAGAGCAAGGAGACATTTCTGCATGCTGGTATTCTGCATGCTGCTTAAGTAATGTTGTAGAATACAGTTAGTTGCAAAAAATAAGTTATTTGGTATCTATCAAATACTTATTTGCTTAGAAAATCATATTTTAAAAGGTAGGACCTATGTCACGTAAAATAGTGTGTTTATTACTTAAAAAAGTTTTTTTAGTTGGCAGTTTCCTTATTAGACAAACTTAATTTCAAACATTTGATTCTAAATGTGACTATGCTTCCTTGTATGAGCCTTTGGTATAAGACTGAAATTTTTCAGTTCATACTAATTTGTGTTATGAACAGAGCTTTTTAATCTAAAGAAATCGAATTTCCTTTGTCTGTAGTAATAACTTTATAGCATGAAGAGTATATTCAGGTTGGTACTCAACAGGTCTGTTCATGTCTTTTTCTACAGATGGCTAAGAAGGAAACGGATAGAAAAACTAGCAGAGCAGCAAGCTGTCAAAGAAAGAACTAGACAGCTCCGACTGGAAGCAAAGCATTCTAAACAGTTACAGTACCACCTATATAATATGTCAGAAGCCAAATCTTTTCGTTTTACTGATCATTACAGCTGAAGGTATCTATTAAATACTTCATTTGGAAGCTGCTGTCCTCAAAATTTTCGATATCATTTCTTATGGCCTGTGTGCTTTGGTCATACTCTAAATTATGGAAATGCTATTTATCTTTTGGTAATGTTGATAGTGAATTTATCTTATTTCTTTTAACACTAGAGCAAAATAAATTTCTTCTCTCATAGCATTGTAATGTGTTATACCACCTCTTAGTCCATGCAAAAAATTGAGCAACAAATAAACTGTACATTCCTTTACTTCTAAATTATTTTAACATGTCTAGCTGGAACGGACACAAAAAAGGGACAGATATCTATTATTAGTTTCTGTTATCATTTTTAAAAAAATGCAATAGAACATTTCATAAGGCAGGAGGAGTGACCTCTTAAACAAGCCTGGTTCAAGGCCTGATACAAAGTCCTAATTATGTCAGATTTGAATTTGAATACCTATGGCAAGCTAAACAGTAGGTTAGGCCTACTTCCACGTGTTCTTTTAAAAAAAAAAAAGATAGTAACAATTATGTATACTATTTTGGGTATGTTATACAAAATTATCCAGCTCTAATTGAGAGTTTATATAATGTGCCTGTTGTAAATGCTTTGCATAAATAATTTGACCTAATCCTTATAACAACCCTATTAGTCTTGTTTTGCAGATGAGGAAACCAAAGTACAGAGGTGAGCAGTTTGCTCACAGATTCTGAGATCTGAATGATTGCAAAATCCTTTCTGTTAGTTATATTGTAAAGCTTACATACCTTGGTAGACATTTGTGGGTATATAGGACTATACAGGAATCCAGCGTGTGGGCGAACAGTATCCTTGATATGTGTAAGAGCACTTGAGGACTGGAGGACAAAGGCAAACATGCAAGTGTGATGGGGAGTGGAGAGTTGCTGTAGGAGTTCTGTTAAAGCTTCAAAAGACAAGGTACTTATCAACTGGGTATTTGTACCTTAATCACTTGACCCTAAATTAGAAAACACAGAGAGCTATTCAATCCTGTCTCAACTTCCTATAGCACTTTGAGCATACACCAGGCAATTTAGCATTTCATTATAACTAGTCTTGTGTTGTTTAAAGTTTATCCTTAATGATAAAAACCAATTTGGCATTTAAATATTCCACAATATTTTTCTTTTACAAAAAAAGCTGTTGGAATTTTCATAAGGATTGCAGTGAATCTGTAGATGGCTTTAGGTACTATTGCCATCTTAATGATATTGTCTTCTAATCCATAAACACAGGATGTCTTTTCATTTAGTGCAGCAGTGTTTTATAGTTTTCAGTGTACAAATCTTTCACCTACTTGGTTAAATTTATTTATAGCTATTTATTCTTTTGGATTCTATTGCAAATGGAATTGTTTTCTTAATTTTGTTTATGGGTTGTATACTCAAAACACAAACATAGATGATTTTTGTGCATTGATATTATACCCTGCAACTTTGTTGAATTTGTTTATTAGTGCTAAACTTTTTCAGTGATTTTGCTTTTGCATTTTCTCTATATAGGATAATATCATTTTCAAATAGGGGTAGTTTTACTTCTTCCTATCCAACGGGATGCCTTTTATTTATTTATTTTTGTTGACTGATTACTCTGGCTAACATGTCTAGTATAATGTAGAGTAGTAGTAGTTAAAGTGGGCACCCTTGTCTTTTTTTTCCCCACAGTTTAATTGCTTTATGCATTTATTAGCTAATATCAATGCAGCAGAGGGGACAAAAGCTCACGAACACTCCACATATTTCACAAGACGCATTGCAGGAAACAAAGTGACTAAGAAGGATCAATAGTATCCTAGGGTCTTGCTGGACGCATTTCTGGGAGAGGTGGACCTCTTATTTCTGTTGGAGGGGGGTCTCATTCCTGGAGGGGGCATGCCTATTGACATCCCTCAAGTAGGGGGGAGCCCAATTGGTGGGCGCATGGGTGATCGTATACCAGGTGGAAGAGCCATAATTCCTAGAGGTGGTGTTGCTCGACCAACAGGTGTGGGGGCAGTCCCCCATCCTGGTGGATATTGAGTTGAGGCTCCAGCAATGCTGGCAGTAGCAGCAACTGCAGCAGCTGCTACAGTGCCTCTTCCCTGTGGGATCATTACCTGTTGGGATGGCCCCCAAACCCTCGGACAGGGTCTGCTAACCCAGCAGGAGCCTGGGGAATTTGAACACCAGCTGGACCATCTCTGCCAGCTGCCCTGCCAACTCCAGGGCCTCCTGTAGCTCCAGCAAGTGGTACCCGAGCAATGCCAGTACCTTTGGGGGGTGGTCGCTCCACAGTCATGGAAACCAAGTTCTCCCCACACAGCAACACCTGACCCAAAACCCGTTTTTCTTCACGCTCTGCCTGCTTCGCATTCTTTGGCTTGATCTTCCTGAACTCATCACAATCACAGAGGATCAAGTTCATATGCTTGTCAAAAGCCTTGAAGGTGCCAGTGAAGATCTGGCCATCTTGCAGGATACGTCTCATCCTATAGTCAATGTGCTGCAGCATCTTGCTGCTCTTCCCCACAGTCATGATTGCTGTTCCACCAAGTCCAATACCTACAGGAAAGTTTTGGGATCCTTAAGACCTAAGGGAAGGCTGGTTTTTTTTCTCTTGGAATCAGCTACCCAGGTGTTCCAATACTGCTTTAACCACCTCTTGGCGTCTCAGCTAAGAATGCCTGCCTCAGTTCCACATGGAATTCCACCGCAGGTACTTGCTGCTGCTGCTGAGACCACCTCGGGTACAGGCGACACGCCTGGTTGCGTAGCGAGGCTGTCTTTCTACGTTTGACTTGGACTTCCACCTCTGGGATGTGCTGTTCCATGGTCCATCTCAAGTGTAAGCGGTCCCTGGCCCTGCTGCATCGTGCCACTGGCCGCTCCTCAGAACAGAATGTCTCCAGTGGCCGTTCCATTCTGCCTGGGCATCCTTATTTTGTTCTTGATCTTAGGAGGAAAGCTTTTAGTCTTTTAGCATTAAGTATGATGTTAGCTGTGGGTTTTCCATAAATGCCCTTTATGAAGTTGAGGAAGTTCTATTCTTATTCCTCCCTCTATTTACTCCGTCTATTCCCATTTTTCTGAGTGCTTTTATCATGAAAGTGTGTTGGGTTGTATCAAATGCTCTCTGCGTCAAGTGAAATGATGTGGTTTTTCTTCTTTGTTCTAGTAATGTGATATATTACGTTGGTTGATAGTCTTATATTGAACCACCCTTGCATTCCTGAGACAAATACCACTTGGTGGTATATAATCCCTTTACTATGATATTGTATTTGGTTTGCTAGTATTTTGTGAGGATTTTTTTCATCTGTATTTGTAAGAGAGATTTTTCTGTAGTATTTTTTTCTTGTGTCTTTGTCTGGCTTTGGTATCAGGGTAATGCTGGCCTCAGAATGAATTAGGAAGTGTTCCCTGTTCCCTCTGCTTTTATTTTCTAGGAAGGGACTGAGGTGTATTGGTATAAATTCTTTAAATAGTTGGTAGAATTCACTAGTGAAACTATCTGGTCCTGGACTTTTCTTTGTTGGGATGTTTTTTGTTTTTTAATATACTTTATTTTTTAGAGCAGTTTTAGGTTCACAGCAAAGTTGAGCAGAAAGTACAGAGAGTTCCCATATATCCCCTGCTCCCTCCATCCCTAAAACCTTCCCCAGTATCAACATCCCTCACCAAAGTGGTACATTTGTTGCAATCAATGAACCTACATTGACACATCATCACCCAACATCCGTAGCTCATGTTAGGATCCACTCTTGGTGTTGAGAGGTTTTTGATTACTGATTTAACCTCTTGTTATAGGCTTGTTCATATTTCCTATTTCTCGAGTCAGTTTTGGTAAATTGTGTTTCTAGGAACTTTTCCATTTCATTCAGATTATTTAATTTGTTGGTGTATAATTGTTCCTTTATTTAAATGAGGTTGGTAATAATGTCCTACTCTCATTTCTGAGTTTAGGTATTTGCATCTTCAGTTTTTCATAGTCAGTCTGGCTACAGGTTTGTCAATTTTGCGGATCTTTTCAAAGAACCAGCTTTTGATTTCCTTGATTCTCTGTTTTTCCATTTTATCTCCACCCTAACTTCAATTGTTTTCCTTCCGCTAGTTTTGGGTTGTTTGCTCTTCTTTTTCTAGTTCCTTAAGGTGTAATGTTAGGTTGTTGACATATGAACTTTTTTTGTTGTTGTTTAGCTCAGTTAACTGTTATCTTTATTATTGACACTCTTAAAGCAACAGTTGCAGAGGTGTGCCACTAGTTTGTGGTTATGAGTGTATGTATATAATTTTTTAAAGTTTTTTTTATTGTGGTAAAATATATATTACCTAATTTATGATTTTGACCATTTTTTAAAATGTAAAATTCTGTGTCACTAAGTACATTCATATGTTGTGCAACCATCACCACTATCCATCTCCATAAATTTTCAACAGCCCAAACTGAAACTCTGTACCTAATAAACACAACTCTCCATTCTGCTTTCCCTTAACCCTGGGTAACCGCTATTCCACTTTGTCTCTATGAATTTGATTATTTCAGGTATGTCAAATAAGTGGAATCATCTAGTGTCTTAAAGATTCATCTGTGCTGTAGCATATCAGAATTTACTCCTTCTTAAGGCTGAATAATATTCCATTGCATGTATATACCGCATTTTATCTACTCATCCATCAAAGGACATGTGAATTGCTACTGTTTGGCTATTGTGAATAATGCTGCTGCTATGAACATTGGTATACAAATATCCTTTTGAGTCCCTGCTTTCAATTCTTTTGGGTATCTACCTAGAGGTGTAATTGTTGGATCATGTGGCAATTGTGTGTGTAATTGTTTGAGGAACTTCCATACTGTCCTCAATAATGGCTGCACCACTTTACATTCCCACCAGCAACGCACAAGGGTTCCAGTTTCTCCACATCTTTGCCAACGCTTGTTATTTTGCTTTACTGGTAATAGCCACCCTAATGGATATGAAGTGATATCAGTTTGCATTTCCCTAATGATTAGTGATGTTGAGCATCTTTGGATGTACTTATTGGCCATTCGTATATCTTTTTGTGGAGAAATGTCTATTCCTTTGCCCATTTTTTAACTGGATTGTTTTTTGGTTGTTGAGTCGTAGCCCTTTATTTATTCTGGACATTAGACCCTTAAAAGATACATGATTGCAAATATTTTTCTCCATTTTGTAGGATGCCTTCTCATTCTGTTCATTATTTCTTTTGCTGTGCAGACGGTTTTAATTTTGATGAGGTTTATCTATTTTTTTCTTTTGTTGCCTGTGCTTCTGGTGTCATAGTCAAGAAATCATTGCCAAATCCACTGTCATGGAGCTTTTCCTCTATGTTTTTTTTTTTTAAAAATCTTTATTAGAGTATAATTGCTTTACAATGGTGTGTTAGTTTCTGCTTTATAACAAAGTGAATCAGTTATACATATACATATGTTCCCATATCTCTTCCCTCTTGTGTCTCCCTCCCTCCCACCCTCCCTATCCTATGTTTTATACTAAGTAAACCTAAAGGAAAGGCTGAAGAATCAGTTGTAAATAGTATAAGCTAGATGAAGACTTGAATTGAAGCACATCATTCTGGGGGAAAGATAAATAAATATTCACACTAAAGAAGGCAGAGAAATTTATTGCCACTTGAAACTATAACTCAGATGAATCAGACCAAAACAAAACAAAACCATTAAGTTGACATTAAAACATGTTGTTATTTGATCATATTTGTCTTTTGAGGATTTCTTTACTGATAGGCACTTCTGCAACCAGTTAGGGTAATTTGGTGTAAACATTTTGTGGACATTTTTAAAGGTATATAAAAGGATGTTTGATGATAGCCGGTCATAAGTAAATAATAATATATATGACATAAAAATTGATGAATTGCATTTTTGAGTTTGAACAATGTTCTAGAAAGATCCGTTTTTTTTGTTTTTTTTTTTGCGGTACGCGGGCCTCTCACTGCTGCGGCCTCTCCCATTGCAGAGCACAGGCTCTGGACGTGCAGGCTCAGCGGCCATGGCTCACGGGCCCAGCCGCTCCGTGGCATGTGGGATCCTCCCGGACCGGGGTACAAACCCGCGTCCCCTGCATCAGCAGGCGGACTCTCAACCACTGCACCACCAGGGAAGCCCAAAGATCCTACTTTCTCTGCCATATTTCATAAGTATCAAATTGGATACTCCTGTTGTGCTGCAATTGCCAAAATGAGCTCAATAGTTAGAATGTTTCTTCTGTATATCAAATTGCATCCATTCAAAATATGGAATCCCCTGCACAAAACCAAAATGAGAACATGCTTTGCTCAAGCATTTGTTAATGTGGCTGTAAAATATTTAAAAGTTTCCTAACATATAGCATTTATTTTTAAAGTAGTCCCTTCACCCACAGTGTTTCCATAAGACTCTTCTGTAGCCCCTAAAAATCACCAAAAAGGGAAAGGACTCCTACCCCACTCCCTCCCCGACCCCTGCCAGCTACTTTTACTTTAGAGTGGAGGTCAGAAAACTTTTTCTGTAAAGGACCAGATGGTAAATATTTTAGGCTTTGCTAGTCATACAAACCCTGTTGTAGCTACTCAATTCTGCTGTTGTAGCACATGAAACCAACTACAGACAACAGTACATGAATGGGTATGGCTGCATATGACCCAAGGCTGTAGTCTGCCAATCCTTGCTTTAGAGTACAGAAATTAATTTGCTTATGTAAAATATATAGCAAGATTAATAAATTAGAGCCTAAAAGAAAGGTACAGAATCGTTCTTTTAGTCCTTTAGGAAAACCATCCTGTAATGCCTGTATTGTCTATTTCAAATATATCTACACAGTTTCACTTTTTTCTTACCCTGAGATATTTATTAAGAAAGGGTAATCCAGAGTCCAGTACATGAAACATCTTTGGGGATATATATTATTTAAATAGAAAGTGATAATACTTCTAGCATTAAAAGAACCCCAGCTGCCAAATTATAATGACTCTGTAGTGTGCCTCCAACATACTGACTGTTAAAGGGCAGTAAGTTCTCCCTGGCAGTTACTGCAGCAATTGAAAGTTATATTTTCATATCTTGTATAGGGATGAAATCGTCCAATATTTTTCTTTGTAGCAAGTAAGGTGGTTGGTGAAGACTCAGAAAACGGATTATCAGCTGAGCTCTCTGTACAGGTTACTGGATCCAAAATGCGTAGAACCTAAGGAAAATAAGAGGTGATGTCAGATGTATGCAGGAAGGACTGTAAAAGCCCTTGGTTTTATTAATATATAAAAGTGCTATTTCATTAGTATGAAACTGCCATAAAAAATAACATCTGAATGATGAATTTGATTAGAGAACTTATGCCTTTTCTCAAAAAGCTCTAAATTTGACAATGATGTCAAGTTATTATATTACCTAGGTTACCTATTTTAAAAAATAATGAAATTACTCTTATGCATATTGATGAAAATATATGAAAACATAAAAGAAAATTAGGTTATATCAATTTTACTATAAGTGATGTTGATTTTTATCTTTAACCAAAAAGTATGCACTACCTTTCTCCCTCAGTCCTTCACTGAACTGCCTGGAACTGGGATTCTGCCTTCATTCTTCTACTGAAATGTTATTTCAAAGTTTTTGATCATTTACTTGTAAAATCAATGGTTTTCATTTCTCTTTTTCTAATTTATATGCAATATTTGATGCTAACGATCATGCTTTTGTTTCTTGGATTCATGGACACCATACTCTCTTAATTCTTCTGCTCTGATTCTTCCTATTCTGTTTCCTTTACTGAGACCCACAACAGGAGGAACTCTTGGGTTGAAAAAAATTCTCCAATTAAGGGCAAGGATAACATGGCTGGCTCATAGCTCCTGTTTCTCATTTTCATATTCTTCCAACCATCATCATATGATGAACATGGGTTATTGGGCAAAGGAGGCAGGTACTGGAATTGGAAAGGAATTGGGAAAAGCAGTAGCGGAAAGAGCTTTCTCTCCTTCTATGTAAGGCTTATTCAAAAACAGCTTTCAGAAATGGCTTGAGATGTCTGTTTCCCTAGCTCTCATATTGTCCAGCAGGTTTTTTTCCTTCTAAGTTACCAATGTACCCAAAGAGCTATAGCTAATTTAAAAATGTCCTGGCATCATTTAACAGCTACCATTCTATTTTAGTACCTCTGTTTTTCTACTGGATTACTGCTTTTTCGATTTAGTTTTTGATATCCTTCTATTTTTTACGGAACTTGGTTAGATGCTACTGGACAACAGAGATAAAGGGCTTATCTTAAAGCTGCTTATAAATTTAGAAGGGAAAATTATAACAGTACCCCAACTCTCTATATATGTTATTACATTATGTGCCTTTAGAGGGAGGAACAAAATGCCAAAGGAATACAATTAAAGGAGACCAAGATACCAGTATAGATACAAGGTTTCTAGATTTTAGCCTGAAAGTGATAGGGAAGGATTTTAAGCAGGGTGCCTTTCAGAGAGATCACTCTATACACAGCGGGTGGATGAGGGAAGGAGTGGGCACTAAAGCAGACATGGGAAGAACAGAGAAAGGGAGTTTACAGCAATAATCTAGCTAAGAAATGCTGACCTTGAAGCAATGTGGCTAAAAGGTCCAAGAGACACTAAGGAAGTAGGACTGTCAGTTTTGTTCAATGAGACAAGGTGGATAAAGGATTGGGAGAAGGGGATGTAAACCAAGCCTTGAGGCTACCCACCATTGTATCGTGAAGTAGGAGGGCGTAGGGTTACGTAAGCCAAGGGAAGAGAGTGTTTCAAGATATCAGGAGTAGTTAATTATACCAAATGCTACTGGCAGCAACCAGGTAGGCAGCAACACCATTTCCCAACAAAAGAATAGAAAAAGAGAAACGATTTTGGATAAAGCTGATGAGTTTAGTTTCAGGGACTGATTCAGTAAATAGCTGAACACCTACTGTTGTACAAAGGATTATGCCAGACCTTGAGGAAATGCAAGACATAAGCTCCTTAAGGAACTCACAGTTTGGGAGAGAGATTTAACATGATAAAGAGCTATACTAGAGATATATATATATATATATATATATATATATATATATATATATATGTACAAAATGGAAGCCTGGAGGAAGGAACATCTAGGTTTGCCTGTGGGATTCAGGGAAGGCTGATTCTTAAAGGCAATATAGTGGTTGGGCAAGAAGAGAGATGTTCGGAGGGCAGTCTAGGCAGAGGGAAAGTATGTACAGAGGCATGAGATACAGTGGCCTATCTGTGGAATGCAAGTGGTTAACACTGCTGGGATGTGAAGTGCAGAGGGTGGACACACCTGGAAAGTGATACTAGAGAAGGGGAACTGGAATAATGATTAATGAAAGGCCTTCTCTACAATATGAAATAATTCAGATTCAGTAATGAGGGAGACTGGGAGCCCTCTGAACAGCAGTACCAAGAATGATGGGATTGGCATTTTTGAAATAACTCACTGACAGTAGAGGATGGCATGGAGGCAGGTAAAAAGCAAGGTGGGGATATTGGTGAGGAGGCTATTACTAAAGTTTAGCCTGGAGATCAGGTGTTTGAACTTGGGAGAGGGGATAAATTAGAAGGAACTGACAGGACTTGTAAAGGTAACAGGATTAGAGGGATGAAGGATATAATAATAAAAATGATAGCTACTATTTATTGAGAAATTACTGTACCTATACTGGAAACTGCTACAGGCTTTATATGTATTATTTTATGGAATCCCCAAAACTGTTGAGATCACAGTTCATGGAGAGATGTTGAAGATTTTAAAAGTGGAAAAGTTCTGGTAATGACAAGGCCTATGACTGGGATGAGGGTGAACCTGGATGGTTGTAGAACTGTGAGACCACAGTATTTGACAGGTCACCTGCATGAGCCCTCAATTCACACAGGACTGAAGGTACCAGGTCTACACTAATTGCTTCTGTGGAGTCTGGCACATTCCCATCTATATGGGGAAAAAACAAATAACATCTTAGACCAGAAGTAATCAATTATCTACTCTTGATTACTAAATTAAAAGTTCTACACAGTGGTTTTCATATCAAAATGAGCTCAAGAAAAGGATTATCAATGATTCAGTAGCTAAAAAATAGGTCATCTTTAAAAACAACTACAACTACATTTTTTTCTCAAGTGTTTGAGAAAATTAAAGCTCAGAGGAGGAAATAATTTTCTACAAGATCCCTAGCTCATTAGTATGACAATCAAATTTTGATCCCATATTTCCTAACTCCCAATGCCAAGCACTTTCCATTACAACATGTCACCTTTCAATACGAGGACAGTCTTAGAGGTTCCACAGATCATGAAAGAGAAGTATTTTACCGTTTCAGCCATTTTTTCTGCTGGGGTGCTGCAGAATTCAACTGTTGATGGAAACTTTTTTTGACCATTAGTGCCAACATTTCCCAGAAGATGAGAATTTACTGCTTTTGCCAACTTGTGATTTGTTAACGCTAGTTCTGCTGTGCTGTGAGGTTGCGCGTTAGGGTAGTAAGTTTGCTCTCTTCCCCACTGCAAGGAGACCAAGAGCTCCTCCAACAACCTGCAAAGAACACACATGAGCACTCAATATTAATAAGAGGATAAAATCTAAAAATCAAGAATGATGAATAAATGAGAAACATATTTCTGAAATCATATAGTATCTTTCTCCTCTATCTTTCTCTCAGAGTTCAATAAATCAGGAAGTCTGGTAAAATAAGTCAGATTACAGAAAGCACTTATTGATTTTATGGTTATCTGGAAATCATTCAACAAACAGTACATTTTTTAGTTCTCATATTTTAGTACAGGTAATAATAGTGTACTCATACAGTATTATACAACTACAGATTTGTGCATTTATTGAGATATTCATATGGTATATGTATATGATAATTTTTTGTGTGAGTTACATTGGTTGATTTCTAAATGATAAACTAACTTATAATGCTTGGGATAAAACCTACTTGGCCACAATCTATAAACATTTTTATATACTGTTGGATTTGAATCACTAAAATTCTGTTAAGGATTTTTGCATCTGTATTCATTAGAGATATTGGCCTGTAGTTTTCTTGTAGTGCCTCTGTCTGGTTTTGGTGTCAAGATGATGCTGGCCTCATAAAATGAGTTGGAAGTTGTTCCCTTCTCTATTTTCTAGAAAAGTTTGTGTAAATTTGGTTTTATTTCCTCCTTAGATATTTGTTAGTATTCACCAATGGATCCATATAGGCCTGGGGTTTCCTTTACTAGAAAGTTTTTGACTACAAAGTAAATTGCTTTAATAGGTTAGGGCTATTCAGGTTATCTGTTCTTGGGTACTCTGGTGGTTTGGGTCTTTTAAAGAGATCGTCCATTTAAGTTGTTGAATTGATTAGCATAGTGTTGTTCATAACATCCCCTTATTATCTTTCCTATGTCTACAGAATCTGTAGTGTACCCCCTCCTCATCCCTGATACTAGTCACTTGTATCTATTTTTTTCCTGATTATACTGCCTAGAGGTTTTGTAAACTTATCTTTTCAAAGAACCAGTGTTTGGCTTTCTATTTCATTTATTTCTGCTCTCATCCTTTTCTTCCTTCTGCTTAATTTGCTCTTTGTGTTTCTTAAGAAGGAAGCTTAGATTATTGACGAGACCTTTTTTCGTTTCTACAATAAGCATTTAAAGTTATAAATTTCCCTCTAAACACTGCTTTAGTTGCCTCCCACAAAATCTGATATTTTGATATATTGTGTTTTCATTCTTCTAATTTCCCTATGATTTTCTCTTGACCTTTACTTATTTGATTTGTAAGAAATCAACTACATAAAAGTATAAAGTACATTTAAGGAAGACTATCAATTTTGACAGTTCTGGTGCATATAGACATGAAAGTAAGCTCTAATACTGTAGAACAATCCTCAAAAAGATCTCCTTCCGGGCTTCCCTGGTGGCGCAGTGGTTGAGAGTCTGCTTGCCGATGCAGGGGACACGGGTTCGTGCCCTGGTCCGGGAGGATCCCACATGCCACGGAGTGGCTAGGCCTGTGAGCCATGGCCGCTGAGCCTGCGCGTCCAGAGCCTGTGCTCCACAACGGGAGGGGCCACAACAGTGACAGGCCCGCGTACCGCAAAAAAAAAAAAAAAAAAAAGATCTCCTTCCAAAGGAAAGACTGGTATGCTTTTTGGCTTCTACCAAAAACCATACAAAACTGCTATAACTATAACCAAAAATTACTTTTAAATCCAGAGATTTCTTCTATTATAGATATAACTAATTCTCTCCCCAATTAAGAATAAAAGAAGCATGTCTTCTGTTTTTTCAGTCTTTCTCCCTCCCCTGGGCATCTGTTTTAAAACATATATGCTCAATAAGTTATTAAATGTAGAAATACTAAAGAACTATCTCAATAACAAAAATTGCAGGAGAAAGGAGAAGAGTTCAGAATGTAAACAAGTGCCATACTTCTGTGTAGTTATCATTTCCTGACGAAACTGTTCCCGTTCACTCAGGAGATCTTGTATAGCACTCTGTGCATCACGGTTTTGACGCTGTAAAGCCGCTCTGGAGTTGGTTAACTCATCTGCCATAACCCTGGAAAAGATTAAAGTCTTACATATAAATTCTCTGACAGTGTTAAGAAGTTAATATACTACCTTTGTGACTGTCATTTTTAAAAACTTACAAAAAAGATTTAATGTTGTCAAATTACTTCTCAGTTTTTAAATCTTCACTAAAAAACATTGAAAATCTTTATGAGCTTAGAACTTATTAAAGGGACTCAATTAAAATATCTGTTTACAAAATGACAAAGGAAACAGTTTTTTAACTTTCCTATATAGTGACTTTGGAACTTGTACTTTAGTCTTATTCTAGATTAATCAAGTTTTGGAAAAAAATAACATTATTTAAATGTTTTTTAAATATGGAAAATTTAAGAGAAAAAAATGAGTTATTTTTCTGCCATCAATTACTTCTTTGTCCTTAGAAAAATATTAAATATAGAAAGATTTATAAAAAAGCAAAACTAAGTCCTTCTTCCAGACCAGCATCCCCATCCTTCTTTTATAGTCAGTGATCAATAAAGTAACCAACATATTTTTCTAGAAAAAAATAATTTATGTGTATATCAACAAAAAATTATGTGTAAAAATAACTATATTCATATTATTTACAAAAAAGGGATTATTTAATACAAACTTTTCTATAGTTTGCTTTTTTTCACCTAATAATTTATCTTGGTGATTTTTTTTCATATTAGCACACATAGAGCTAACTCATTCCCTTTTTTAAAAAAAAAACAGCTTAATGTTTTCTTCTGATTGGATGTACCAAAATGTATTTAACCAATTCTCTATTGATGGAAATGAAGCAAAATTTTAAAGTATTTTTATTCAGCTGAAAATCTTAAAACTAAAGTCTCAGACCATAGTAACCACTGAATTCCTTAAAATGAAAACAATTCTGACATTAAAAGATTAAATCAACTAAAATATCAATAAAGTTTGGTTTAATTATTATTGCCCTTAACGTGTTACTATCAGCATCGATCAGAATGTTAAAAAAAAGTTATTACAGTAATCTGTAAAATATATGCATGATTTGCTTCTTAAGCTGTTCAATGAGAATTAATTAATATTCATTCTAAGTCAATAAACAGTAAATAGTCAATAAACAGTAAATTCATTTCTCCAAATAGATCCTATAATAGTACAATTAGAAATAGATGTGTGTTAGATGGATAACACCCAGATCCTTTCTCCAGTAACTCAAAGTTGGAAGGAGGGGATAAATAGACAATCATAATATATGAGAGAGCTTCCCAACTACCATGGGCCTGGTGGTTCTAGGGGCCTGGGGTTCTCACCTCTACTGGAGAATAGCCTCATCCAGTAGGCTATACAGTATGTCATACAGATGTTATCATTTTCTGTTTGTGCATGGTGAGAAAAAGGTTGGGAAGCTCTATTATGTAGTAAAATGAGCTATAAGAACAGAGCACGAGAGACAAAATATGATGTACGGAGTGGCAATGATATTTGAGTTCTCCAGATAGAAGGTGGGGAAAAATAGTCTTTTAAAAAATTTACATATTTATTGACTGAGTTTACAGTTTTGTTTTGATCTTAAACATTGTAGTAGGAGTGATTTCTACTATAGAAGAGTAACTCAGAATTCTGGAATGAGGGAGGTGCCTTTTGATACCACTTTTCCATTTACGGAGACTGTATGACCATCCAGAGGAGGAAGAGTCCACATCTTAAATAATACACGAGGTACTCTGACAATTTGAATCAGAAATTTTCACACTACAATCTATTTTCTTGCATTAGGGGTCAAAAGTCTGATAGAGCAAAAGCTAGGAAATGAAATACTCTTTAAAATAGAAAATACCTGCTTGCAAGGAATTTACTTCGCCACACATCACACTGTATGGACATCCGTTCTAACTGTTCGGAAAGCTGAGCTGTGTTTCGACCTAGGGCTTCGTTTTCTAAAATAAGCTGATTTTTCTCACGGGCTAGACGTTCAAAGTGATATTGAAGATCATCCCCAACAGAAGCCACCAGCAGCTTTTTTAACTCACGATTGACCTGGAGGAAATCATGACCAATACAACAAGCTCAAAGTGACGCCAGTGACTTTAATGTAGCAAAATGAACAAAAGAGAAACTGTTTCATGTCGTTTGGACCTCCATTACTAAAAGTGTGTATCAAAAAGTGATATTAAATATTTAAGTTTCATAATGTATATAACCATGTCTATATCTCTATTAATCTATAGTCCATGTAGTTATAATCTGAGCCTCTTATTATAAGAGTACAAATCATTATCATAAAAATTACAAACTGCCTCCAGTCAACACTTAAAGGCAAAAAATTAGAAAAGTGAACCAATAAATTTTGCTAAAAGATATGACCGAGTGTTTTATAAATCTTTTCCAACATTTAAAAATTGATTTCTTTGTGCCTTAGGATTTTTATTTTTAAGAATTTAAGCAAAAAAGCAATTCACATGTCTATAAGCATGTTCTTCACATTGTTATCAAAAATGCAAAAAATTAAAACATAAATGTCCAATAAAAGGTATTGGTATATGGTGCAGTCATTGAAGAACACTGTTGCTATTAATAATGATATTTTAATAGAATATCCTGTATTAACAACTAAAAGACAACTAAAAAAAGTGAGTTACAAGGCAAAAATATACTCAGTATGTATAATTATGCATTTATAGCCAGATGGTATAATATAGGTAGCACTATTTTCATTATTTTTTCTGTATTTTCTAAAATGTTTACAAATAAATATGTACTAGTTTTGTAATTTGAAATCAGTTATTTAAAAATATATTATTAAATATATTAGAAACATATTTGAATGACAACCACTAACCATGGTGTCACAAAGACTAACATCTAGCAAAAAGATGTATAATCTAACAGAGAGGCAAACTGGGGCTGGTAAGGCCATTACTAAGATGTAAAGATTAAAGAAAGTGAATCAAGCACTATAGATAATTTTCCATTTACAATGAAGACACTGATACTTATACCACCATTCTCTTTATTCTAAGTATTATCTATACATAGAAAAAAATACTTGGAATTTATGGATTCTTAAAGCAAGGATTATTAGCTAGTCTTACTTAGTCAATCTCTGGTTTGCAAGTTCATAACTGTAACCTCCTTTACAACTTGTAGGTGGTCTTGTCCAAAGTACCTCACATTGTCCAAAGTACCTCATACTTCAACCATGTTTAGAGGATAAGTTCCCAACATAAACTACTTCTATTAGAGGCACTAAAGAGAATGAGAAATTTAAGAGGAAGTTTTTTAGATAAATGACAAGTTATAATGACATTGCAAGAGGAAGTATTGTTTTCTAACATGCAGGCTCAGAAGGCCCAGGTATAAAGAGAGGTACTCATTAAACCTATTAAGGCTGTTCTTACCTCGGACTGTACTCTGAGCTGGTTTGAAAGACCTTCTTTATCCTGTAGTAACCTCCTTTCAGAGTTCTTGAGCTTTTCCAATATATTCTTTACCTCGGATAGTTCCTTTCTGGGTTCTTCAACTCCCTCTGGCTGGCCAAGGAATTCTCCTTTGTGATGTCCCAGAGACTTAACCTTTGCATTTTTGTTGGGGATATCATGGGTTATAGCGGCTTTGGGAACTAATATTCTTACAGCTTCGACTTCCACTGCTTTTTCAGCGAGAATCTTCCCTAGCTGAAGAACGCCTGGGCTCTCTGACGGAACTGCTTTCTTTCGTGGACTTGGAAGGATGTGATGCTTTATAGGTTGGATTCCAGGAGTAACTTCAATAGATTTAGGTGGTTCCTCAGTTTCCATTCCATCTCCCGCTCCTCGAATTGGGGATGAAGTAAGGATGACTATAGAAGGGAAAACGAAACATAAACTACTTACTGAAAAGAAATGCCAGGAAAATGCTAAGACATGCTTTACCCTACATTCAGAATTCCTGGTACTGAAAAAAAGGGAAAACATTTAGAGTAAAAATTTTCAAAACAATCATGTGTCAACAAAAGATGAACAAAGTCTTACAGGTTCAAACTTTCCTTAAGTAAATGGTTTCTCTCTTGGTAGAAACTGCAAGAGATTTGGAATCAAGGTATTCGGCTTCAACTTCTACTTCCTAGTATAATCCTAAGTAAATAATGTAACCCTCCATGAATCTCTATTTCCTAATCTGCAAAATGGAGATAGTAACAACTATGCTACAGGGTTGTGGTACAAAACAATGTAATAAGATCAAATGCCTGGCACGTTGTAGACACTCAATAATATTAAATATAAAAATAAAATAAGCTATGTATATACGTATTTGAAAGTGTCTACCTCAAAATAGATTGACCTGTTTTTGTGAACTCTTAGCAAAGAATGCTTCACAAGTTATCCAACCAGATTCCTTAATACTCTCTCTCCTAGACCTTTGTTTCTGCTATTTCTTATTCTCTTAAATGGCTTCTTTCGACACTTACTGTGATTCTCACTTATCCCTTTAAGAAGTCAGCTTAAACTCTACTCGGCGTTAAATTTTCCCAACTGTTCTAGTCTACTCTCTGAATGCCTATGCTACTTACCATCTCAAACATTCAGTTTGAATCTTAATCATGAACCATAATTATCATTTATGGGTTTTGTTATATGCTAAATCTCACTTTCCCAATAAGTCTGATAAGCACACTACGGCCAGGCATCATGCCCTAAACAAGTGGAAGGAGCATGGTATTATAGAAATGACATGAACTCTGGGATCAGCCAGATCTGGTTTTGAGTCCCATTTCCACCACTGCTACCTGTACAATCCTGGACAAAATCCTGCAATTATCTGAGCTTCAGTTTCTGCCTCCATGAAAAGAATTTAACAATACATCTAGGGTTACCTTATGTCTTAAATGAGAAAATGGTTAAGTAACAAATAAACATTTATAAAAGATTTACCATGTGCCAAACACTATTCTAAATACTTTACACATAACTCATTTATCCTTACAGTAACCCTTTGAGGTAAAATAATTAGCTCTATTTTATAGATGAAGAAAATAAGACACAAAGAGGTTCAAGAACTTGCCCAAAGTCATACCACACAGTTAGTAAGTAGAAGATGCAGAATGCAATTCTGGGCAGCCTGGTCCCAAAGACTGAGGCCTTAACCACTGCACACACTGCCCCTTTAAGTGTCAAAAGTGTCTTGCACAGAATTGCAGACATTCAATAAATGGTAGCTCCCATTCCTTTCCTCTGTAACACTTAATACATTGCTGCACACATTTACTAATTTGCTCAATTAAAATAATCTCCCGTCTGGGACTTCCCTGGTGGCGCAGTGGTTAAGAATCTGCCTCCCAATGCAGGGGATATGGGTTTGAGCCCAGGTCCGGGAAGATCCCACATGCTGCGGAGCAACTAAGCCCGTGAGCCACAACTACTGAGCCCACATGCCACAACTACTGAAGCCCACATGCCTAGAGCCCGTGCTCCGCAACAAGAGAATCCACCGTAATGAGAAGCCTGCTCACCACAACTAGAGTAAGCCCGCGTGCAGCAATGAAGACCCAATGCAGCCCAAAAAAAAAAAAAAAAATCTCCCCTCATGTAAGCCAAACCTGGCTAGCCGTCCTTAGTTTAGATAACCTTTGGAAGGCAGCTATGCTCACCACTATACTACCATTGCGCCAGTCAAACAACAAAAATTTTGTTTCTTTTCTCCTATTTTACCTTACCTCAAATTAAGCAGTGTAAGGAGTTTCACTGAGTCATCTTTCTCCAAGAAAGGGCTAATTTCACTAATTGATTCAAGAAAATAAGTGGTTTAGAGCTTAGAAAGAATGGAGGATCTGCGAGAATGGGAAATGTTGCAACCTTGAGGAAATGGCTGAGATGATACCTAACCTACATGGAGTTCTTGAATTAGTATATTCAGTAACATCCCTATGAGCTACAAGTTAGATTCCTTGCCATTTTACAAGTCCAGCATACATCTGAGAAAATGGAGGCCAAAACCTAGGAATGGTAATAATTAGCTTTTATTCAATTTACTACGTGCCAAGGACATAGTTCTAAGTCCTTCAGATGCATCAATATCATTTAATTTTTACAAGTTTCATGGGGTAAGCACAATAGTACCCATTTTGTAGATAGAAACAGAGGCTGTGAAAGGTTAAATAGCTTGTCCAAATCATCAGTGTCAAACTGGGATTTGAGTCCGAATATGACTCCAGAGCTAAGCTGTTAATTGGTCTGGGAGGCCTTCCACAAACAAAACTATTGCCTCATCAACCTTGAACTTACTGCCTCTGCTAATAGCCCTATTTGTCAGGTTGCAAAAGCCCACAGAATTTATATAACAGTTATAGTGAACTTAAAAAAATGCAGATCTGATCTGCATCAAACCCTTGAATGGCTTCCTGTCACTCTCAGAATAAAGACCAAGATCCTTACCATGGCCTATACGGCCCTTGGTGATCTGGCCCCCTGCCTATCTCCTGGGTCTCAATTTATGCCATTCACTCCCTCAGATCCTAAGTTCCAGTGTTACTTGCTTTCTTTTAGTGTCTCAATAGGAGCAAATGCCTTCCTCTTCCTCTGCAGACATTTCTTCTTGGAATCTTCTTGGAATCTTCTTCCTAACTTCTTCTCCCCTACTCATCCTTCAAATCTCAGTTCAACCTTTCCAAAGGGAAGCCTTTCTCTAATCTTCCATGATTAGGCTAGGTTCTTTGTTTACACGCCTCTAGAGCAAAGACCCTGCTTTTCTCTGTTTACCATTTATCAAAATGGTAAACATTTTTTTCAGTGTAATTAGTTATATACTATTTGTGCCTTCCACTAGGATATAAGTTCCATGAGCGTAGGGACTATGTGTCACTCATTTACCACTATATTCTTAGTAAAGTGCCTTGTACCCAGAACTCTCTATCTGATAAACAATAAATAAATGGAAGCAAGAGGAGGGGAAAAGGATAAGCACATATAACAATGGTGATGATAAACTTTTGAGTTTTACAGGCAACAAACATGCTGCTTGGTGCCTAATATTGGCCAGACATTGTATGAGGTAGTGGGGACCTCTATGCTTAAGAAACTTACTATCTAAACTTGAGGAGACAGGACATACATGTAAAAAGATAACATGTGTTACTGGGTAATATATAATAAGTGTGCAATAAGTGGTAGAAACATATTTCTACAGAAATTTGATTTCTACAAAAATGTTAATTGAACAATCATGGACTATTGATCAGTCTTTGGTGAATTCATTACTATCTAGCCAAATCATATATTCATATGATTTGAATATACATTTACAATGTTGTGTTAATTTCTCGTGTACAGCAAAGTGATTCAGTTATATGTATGTATACATTCTTTTTCATATATTTTTCCATTATGGTTTATTACAGGATATTGAATATAGTTCCCTGTGCTATACAGTAGGTCCTTGTTGTTTATCCATTTGATATATAATAGTCTGCATCTGCTAATCCCAAACTCGCAATCCATCCCTCCCAGGTTTCTACTTTTTAATAAGCTTATTTTTCTTCTTCTTCCAAACTTAGTTATATAGATGCAGAAACTACAGAGTAGAACAGATTATCATCATACACAGTCACATATCTTCTGGTTTCTATTACTATTTTTTAAAACATTACATTATTAAAAGATATTAAGAAGAAAAAATTACGTATATTCTAATCATTCTAAAATAACTTTTCATTACTTCAAATTTCTTCAATATTTTTATATACTTATACTCATAATTAACTTTATAAGCTTAATATATTTTTCTGTTTTGCTAGTCTTCATATTTTCATTTTATGACTATATTATTCCTTCAAGTTAATATAGCACTATTTAATTAATTACTATTTTATTGCTGGATGTTTAGACTCCAATTTTTTATTATAAAAATGCTTTAGTGAATATTTTTATGCCTACAGGTTTTTTTTTTTTCAAATTCTGAATTATTTCTTTTGAATAAATTCCCAAGAATAGAATTAATGTGCCAGGTGAAGATCTGCATTGTCAAACTGCCTCACAAAATAACTCTACTGACGTATCAGTAGATCTATTACTTATGTCTTTATTTAGTTTTATTTTTTGCATGCTCCATATCCATGAGCTAATGCAATGCTTAAAAGTAAATAAGAAAACATTCTAAAGTGTTTAGAATGGCACAGTAAGCGCTCATTAAATGTTACCTCCTATTGCTTTTATTATTATTCTTTAAAAAAATCTAATAACTTTGGATCTTGATTAAGGGGAGAAAAAGCTTAATATCATAAAATATAATTGTGCCTTTTATTCTCTTATGCTAAAGTTTTACAAAGTTATATCGTCAGACTTTAGGACTATTTTTTCATTTATCAGATTTTTGGGGACTTTTTCCTAAGTATGTAGTAATGTACTGGGAATCCTGAGTTATGTTACACAGGAGGTAGAAAGACATCTGAGGTATAATTAAGGTGTTCTATTTAACAAAACGTTTTATATTAAAATAAAATATTTTGTCATTTCTATATTAAATGTTAACTAAGACATACCCTGAGCTTTAGGACTGACTCTACTTTCAAAAAGATGAACAAAGGAATACTTCCAAAAGTGAAATAAAGGGTTTGGTACTTAGTTCACGCTGTAGCACATCAGCATGGAGAAGGAGAATTCCCACTGAACTGTTTTAAAAATAAAGGCCTATTCCCATGCTTTTAAAATATGGTTTCAAGTTTGTCTAACTCTATCTTGTGCAAATTTAATTTTGTCACTAAGACATCCTGGCATTTAAGAAGTAATGTAGAGTCATGAATTAACTACAGATTCACAATTAAAAAAACACAACAAAAAGACACACTAGAGCTATGCCATTCAGGCCCACTGAAGCTGAAGAAATAAGAAGCAGGTGTGACATCTGTTAAGATTAAATATGATTTCTAGGCAAGTCGTAACATTTTTGAGTTGGAATTTTAGGTAATGGAGATTCAAGAGCAAATCACAAAATGGTTAATGCTAAATTTAAAAGGCAAAGAAACAATGAGTATTGAACAGAAATCTCTTTTCAAACAAAATTGTCATAAAATTCCAATCAAGAAATTCAATCAATTTGGTTCAAACTCAATTTACTCTTCCTTTATTTAAACTGTTCTACTTACTCAAGCACTTGTGAGTCCCAAAGCTGTACCATATCTCACGGGGCAGCTCCCTCTTTGTAACAAGTGTGCTTCTAGCTACTGTGCACGGGCAAGGAGGCAAGGGGGAGTCAGGGCTTTACATTTTCTCGCCCAGTAACTTACTTTCATAATTCTATTTTTTCTGTGACCCACAGAGAAACCTTTATTACATATGCACTAGGCCCAATCCAGGGCACATTCATGAGCAATTACCTTCAGTCAAGTGGGATGACAGTGATCTATGGTACCAGCTCTGTAATTATGAGTAATGTTTAAGTAAAGCAAAACATCAATCCCTTCCCATTCTTTGAAGGGAAACAACAAAACAATTCTTCAATTACTCATCAACATTAACTTCCACCTGTGATCACTTATCAAAGAATTAAAACATATCTAAGGTTTATGGCTCATTCTCACTGCCTTTCCCCCAAATTGGTGAAATGTAGCAAGAGAACAAATAATACTGTTCAGTAGGGGTTGGCAAACTTTTCCCATAAAGGGTCAGATAACATTTTAGGCTTTGTGGACCATGAGGCAAAATTAAGGATACTACTGATATATAGGCATTTATATATGAAGAGAAAAAACAAAATTTTAAAGATGAAATTCAAATTATAATTATTGAGTGAAGTTTTTTTCGGGTAATATAGGTTTAATAATGAAAAGAATAGAGTTCTTTTTTACTTGGGATAACACCTGGCTTAAGTGGGATTCAAAGCTCGTGTTCCCTACTATCAGACTGCCTGCAAATATTCTCAGCAGGCCCAAGAGCCATAATTTGCCAACCCTTGCTCTAGAATACTGAAGCAAAAAGAACATTATTTTATAGTCTGTAATGAAACCAACATTTCTCCTTTTTTGATAAAACTGTAAATCTATGGAGACAGATACTCAGAGTCAGCAGGATGGTATAATAAAACTAGACTAGACTCTGAGTCAAAAACCTCAGTCTCCACTGCCACACATTGTGTGACCTTGGGCAAACCACGTAACCTTACCTCCCCCCCCATCCTACATTGCTTTCAGAATAATGCAAATAGAAGAGTGTTTCAAAATAATTTGTTTCTTTCCTAAACTGTTGAGATCTCCTCAGGGCGGGGACTGCCTCCTAATCTTGGTATCATCAGCTTAATGAAATGGTGCTTGGTGCAGAGAGGTGAGTAAGTGCTTATGGAAGTTCATCAATGTTAACATTAACACACCACCTAGAAGATTTCCTTTTAACATCCAATAACTAACTCATTTAAAAACTGCTTAATTTTTTTCCTCTACACGAAATCATTAATTACTAACTCATAATCTGACAAACTTTTCAGATCGTATGCAGATTCAGTTATAAAACAGTAAAATTAGGGATCATCACTTGGTAATTTTAAATTAATATTCTTTTATATGTCACCAGTATCACCCAATGAAGTTTACTTACCACTAAATTAGAAAAATATGCTATAGGCAGTGGACTTAAGAGTCAGGCCCACATTTACTGATGTGGAATCCAAACGTTCCTTTTATCACAGGTCCCGCAAATAAAAGAGCTTCCCGGTCAAATAAGTGTGGGCAGTGCTGCATACCACATATATCTCTTTGGAGCTGCACAGTGTACATTAGTATATTAAAGGCTCTGAAGGGTCCTGCAGTATAATCTCTCCCTTAATCCAGCATTTCTCTAATTTATCTGTCCATGGAATCTTTTCACCTAATAACTATTGTTCCACAGACTTAAGAGTTAAAAGTTAGACTATTTTATGGAATTATAAATATTTGAACATCTCAGACCTTCCTATTTGGTCTATTTTCACTAAACTGTCTGACTTTAATCCCTTTACTTTTAATTTCAACCTTGCTTCCCCAAAAAGTTTTGGATTCAAATTCTAATTTTCTAATTGTTCCTATTTATTGCAGTTTCCCTTTCAAAAAACCTTAGCAGCAAGGACACATCCCTCTCATGATGACAGCATTGCTCAAATGTCTGCTGAGAAGTTCTGTCCCTATAAGCCAATCTTGCTTCTTTTCTGAGGCAGTTACAGGAAATGCAGGCAACTGACAAATGTCAACCATATAAGTGCACCTTTTCTCAGGCCATGTGATACAAGTAACTGTTCTTCACTAACAGCTAAAATGATATTAAACGAAGGATTAAGACTAACAGCTGAATTATCTACCTCACTGTAAAATTAAGATCAAATGAAGTAATGTATGTGAAAGTGCTTTATAACTCTAATCCTCAGTACAAACAAGTAACAACAAATAAATAATTTCACAGAGGCCTTGCAATAACTAACTTCTAATTACTAATGATAATGTATTTAGTTTTTCGCTTTTTGCCAAGTACCATGCTAACTGCTTTCATAGTAGTTATGATTTAATTGCTCTTATTTCCCATTAATCCCCAGCTTATTACTTTCATTTCAGTTTCTGGTTTGCTTATTCTAATAATATAAAAAGCCTCTGGTGACCTGAAATGCTCTTGCACTCAGCTGAATTAAATTCAATTAATATTTATTGGCATGATCTTTGCTGTCTAAACACATTTAAACCCCCTTTAAAGAGTTTGCTTTTGGAGATCTGCTTGCTGCAAAACTGGCTTCTAGAAAATAGTTTCCCATCTCTCACTGACAGCTCCAACCTCCACAACTCACTCTACCCAAGAATAACCTGAATCAAGAGGAGCTCACTTTGGGACATGCTAAGACTGTTATCTATGTCTAAGTGAAGATAATCAGTAGACAGTAAGCTACAAGGGTCTGAATCACAAGGAAAGAGATCTGAGCTATAGATAGATTTGGAAGCCATCCTTATAATTACTAAAGCTGTGAGAGTAGAAGAGAAGGAGGGCTGAAAAACATTAATATTTAAAAGATAAACCAGAAGAAGAGGAGAATTAAAAAGAAACTATAACTAGAGCAGTGGTGTCCAACAGAACTTTCTACAATTATAGAAATGTTCTATATCTGCACTTTCTAATACAATACCCACCAGACACATGTGGCTATTGAGCACTTCAATGTGGCTAATGTGACTGAGAAACTGGATTTTTAATTTTTTTTTTTTCGGTACGCGGGCCTCTCACTGTTGTGGCCTCTCCCGTCGCGGAGCACAGGCTCCGGACGCGCAGTCTGCGCAGGCTCAGCAGCCATAGTTCACGGGCCCAGCCGCTCCGCCGCACGTGGGATCCTCCCAGACCCGGGCACGAACCCGTGTCCCCTGCGTCGGCAGGCAGACTCAACCACTGCGCCACCAGGGAAGCCCTGGATTTTTAATTTTTAAAAATACTAATTTAAGCTCAAATAGCCACATGTGGCTACTGCATTGGACAGTGAAGGGCCATAGAGTAGATGGAAAATAAGAGTAAAGTCATGGAAATCAAGGAAAGAAAGTATTTCAAAAAGTGGGCATGATCAATAGTATGAAATGTTATACAAAGGACAAGCAAGGCAGGACTAAAAAGTAACTACTGTAGTTAGCAAATGTTCTGAGTTGAATTGTGTCCCACCCATACCTCAGAATGTGACCTCATTTGGAAATAAAGTCATTGCAGATGTAATTAGTTAAGAAGAGATCATACTGGAGTAGTGTGCACCCTAATCCGATATGATTAATGTCCTTATAAAAAGGAGAAATTTGGACACAGAGACATACATGCACAGGGAGAATGCCATGTGAACAAAAAGGCAGAGATCGCTGTGATGTGTCTACAAGCCAAGGAATACTAAAAATTGCCAGCAAACCACCAGAAACTAGGCGAGAGGCCTCGAACAGATCCTTCCCTAGTGCCTGCAGAGGGAGCATGGCTCTGCCAACACCTTGATCTTGGACTACTAGACTCTAAAACCATGAGACAATAAATTTCTGTTGTTTAAGCCACCAGTTTATGATACTTTGTTACAGCAGCCCTAACAAACCAATGCAATAAGAAAAAGGTCTTTTATACCTGATAGTTGTTTGTCCATCTACCCAAATCTTTAAAACTGTACATTCTTATTATTTAAATCTTAATCTTCTAGTGGACAGAGAACATAGCTATAAAAATTTGCTTTTACACTACTGTTTAACAGTAGCAGTCATCTAATAAATACAACCAAATAATGTTACTATTCACCTGTATATCTGTAGTACTGAAATGTAAACACTGCATTAAAAAACAAACATGAAGAGATATGAAATACAAATGATTCCCAAGGGCTCTATGGGGTTTGGTTACCTGGCTCAAACAGTCCTTTGTCCTATCATCATAAATTTCATGTTTTAAAAACAATTATCAGCAAAAGAAGAACACTTACCTTTGGTTTCTAAACTTTCAAGAGTAGTCATTTTTTTCACCAATAAAAATGTACCCCAAGACTTCTACTAAAAAACCTAAAAATGTATAAAATGAAAGAATTAAAACAATACCACATAAACACATTCACTAAGTCCCCGTAATTTATACACTGTGATATTCTCCTGCATTTAATAAGGCTGCATTGAGGAGGTGCCCCTTATAGCCCCTTTTCACAAGGTGATATTGTTATGGTTCCCAAATGTCTCAAAAAAATTAGGGGTGGTTTATTTTCAAATTTCTGTTTCAGTGTATACTCTAAATTACCACCAGTATATTCTAAATTATCAGATGTGTGTCCTTAAATTTAGCTCAGAAAGAGTACTATAGTTACTGTAGGGGCTTTTGTATCACTGATATGACACCAGGAATTTAAAAGTAATTATGTTCTCAGTAGACATTATTGACACTATTTTGTTCACTATATATATCAGAGAGAAGCTTCTGTTCAGATGTTTAACAAGCGACAAAAAATTCATGATAATTTGCACTTCTTGGTAATAAAATTAAAATGGCATAGCATATGCTTTCAGAAGTGTATGCATGGCCTTACAGTATAGACTAAGATTCAGTGGAGAACGTGAGAAGGAAGGTGATACTAATGCAGTGATTATGAGTATGATGAACTGGACACTGGATGACAACTGGTTTCACCATAAAAATGATCATTCGGGTACTCGATATAACTTGGCATAGCGTCTCCCGCGACTACCTTCCTCAAAAGTCACAAACCCTCCTCCTATTGTTCTGAAAACAGGTCTCCAAAGACCCTTCGAAAGAGCAGTGAGCCCTCGGAAGATGCGCAGCGAAATGTACGAGCGCAGCGAAATGTACGAGCACAGCCAATGTCGGCCGGCAAACACCAAAGGAAGGGGGTGAAGGATGGGTCTGGAGTGGGTAACAGGTATGAAGGCGGCAGGATGGAAGCGACAAGCCTGTCAACCTCTGCGGTCCCCAGAAGTCGAATCCCAAGTTCCGTGCCTGTCTGAACAAGCCTTCCTGGAACAACAGGCAACCTTTCCTTACAAAGCGATTGAACACCAAACTTCAACTCAGACCGCCATCCCGTTCCAAAACGCCCTCTTAGTTACACAAGTCCGTTTTTGGACTTACCTCTCAGACTCTTACTCTTCCTATTGCAGGGAGCCTCACTTTACAGGTTCTTCGTCTAGATCTCACTGGGCTAACTTCTCCACACACAACTCTTGCACTCGGAAGCCAATCCGCCCAGGCCTTGGTGACATCAAGCTTCTGGTTCACAAATAATCACTTCCGATTACTCAGGGTTTCGTTTCCGGAATACTTTTCCAAAAGAAAAAAGTAAACACACTCTGTGGTGCGTTTAAACTCAAGTAACACAGAACATCTTCTGTAAGACTTCAGTAAGTGAAAACTGGATGAACCCTTATTAAAAAATAAAATGTAGACTATTGGGACCCTAGCCGCGTATTAGTTTGAACTTCCGAGTTATCGGTCGGCCAAACGGAAGTGATGATGCTGGCACGAGGTAGGCGGTGTTCCGTCGCCCCAGGCGACGGAGTGAAAGGGCGGGCCTGTCGGTTGGGTGGGCGGAGCTGAGTTTACTTTTAGCCAATAGGGACGAAGGGGCGGGCAGGGCGGCCCACGCAAAGCACGGCAGTAGGTGGAGCTCTGTTGCCAGAGTAACCCGGCGTTGGTGTTGGTGTTGTATACTTCCTGTCGCAACCATACCTGTTTCCTTGTGCTGAGATCCTGAGGTGATGGTGAGTGCCAGGCGAGGCCAGAACGGCTCCGGGGTCTTCTTTACTCCGCGTCCCAGGTCCTTGGTTGTCTGGGCACTGAGAGGCGTCCGCGTCCCATCTGCCTTCACGCCGTTATCTCTTTCTCCCTTTCCAGGAGCAGTCCCTGCAATTTCCTCTTTCCCTATTTCTTGTAGCACTCTGAATTCCACTTTGGTACTGCTAAGCCTCGAGAGTAATGTGACAGGAGGTTTAGGGGTAAGACACTGAGTCTATTAGTCTGAGGTGAGAGATTATTTCGAACATTTAAAATGTTTTCATTTTTCATCATTGCATTTTTGTTTTTCAAGCTCCCAGCTTCACCTTAACGCGCTTCATTTAATAGTATGTTGTGGTGTGTGTATAACTTTCTCATTACTGATCCGAACCTCCCTAGTTCCTGAAATCTTTGCTTTCTTGAGTGGCCGAGTACTGTCCCACACCCTGTCTAAGGGCCATACAGTAATAGCTGTATTTTGCATTAGCTCTCTTCTAGCCAGTTGATTACCTTCTAGGTCTGTGCTTTTTAACAGGAATGCCCCTCAAGATCACTTCTGGAAAATTCACTTGCTAGAGCCTCACCCCCAGAAATTCTGAATAAATAGGAATGGGGCTCCGTATTTGCATTTTGAAAAAACCTGTAGATAATTCAGTCACGTGTTTGAAAACACCAGGGTTCTAGTTAATTCACTTAATTACCAAATATTTTAAACACTTACAGGTAAAGAACTGGAAGATAGAGAGATGACTATTGTCAGATGAGTATAGCTATGAACTTAACAGAGACCCACCCACCACCCCTTCTCCAGTACTACTCAGCAATCCATTTTATTACTCCAATCTTCTGCTGCCCTTTTCCTTCCGAGCCCTTTCCACACCTTCACTTTACAAACCCTGTCCCTTCCCCTCCATTCTAAGCAGATGACAGAGTCTAACAGTCACTTTCTTTAACCTCATGCCCCAACCTATATATTGATCTATATTTTTTACCCATCATTCGGTCTTGTGTTTCTAGTTGATAGAAACAGGTGTTGAAGGATAATGCTTCCATCTTTGCCCTAAATCTTATTCCCTTCCATTCCTTACAAGACTTTTGCTTCAGGTTATAGTTCTTCTTTCCTGTGCTTTCAGCCTCTTCCTCTCCATTTCCTTCTCAGTGTTCAAGTCATACATCTTAAGAAAATGAAATAAAACAAAAGCCCTTCCCCTTCCTGTGTTTATCCAGTCCTCCCATCAATCTATCAGTAAACTGCTGGAAAGCATAGTGCTTCCATTTGTATCCAATTCTGCTCGGTCACTTACGTCCTCAACACTCTGTTGTCTGAATTCCTCTCTAATGGCTTCATGAAGTCGTTCTTGCTTAAATTTCGAACGGCCTTTTAAATGCCAAATCCAGTAATTTCTTCTCAAAATTTATTTTATTTAGCCTCTCTGACAACTGAAGCTCATGATTATTCATTCCCTCTTTTTTTCCACTGGCTTTGCCTGTTTTTAAAATGTCATTTTCTGGGACTCACTCCTTAATAATTTCACTTCTCAGTCTCTACATTTTCCTTGGTTGATTTCATGCACACACGTGAGTTCTACTAATGCGTAAGCATTCATTCTTAAATTTCAGTTTCATCTCAGACCTGTTAAGGCCTAGTTGCTTCCTGGACATCTCTACCTGGTTACCGCAGAGGCCCCTCAAACTTGTACTTACCATATTCAGTCGAAATTATTTGCTCATAGATTTGTCACACTTGCTAAACTGTGAACTGTTAGAGGAATGGGTCTTTCTTTTGTTCACTGCTGTTGCTTATATCATGTTAGGCACTCAGATATTTGTGAAATACTGTTTTTTGGTGCCTGTCATTCAGACCCCCCAACAACCCTAAGAGCAGTGAACTCCTCCTCGCACCCTCTGTCCTGGCTCGAGTTGTGTGTGGTGGCTCTTTGAGAAATTGCGTGGTCAATGAAGGCTCGTCTGAGGAAGAGACTTTTGTCTTGAAGTCTGAGTGATAAAGTGCGATGATCTGAGGGAAGGGTTCTAGGCAGCACTAGCAAAAAGATCAAAAGAGCTTCGAGTATTGTAAGCACTGATCTTATGGTTTAATGTGAAAAAAAATCGCTATTATTGATAGGTTATGAGGTGGTGTGTGGGTGACAGCAGTGGGGGGAGTATGGTGGAGTGTGAGATTCCGGTAGAGAGGTAGGTAAAGGGCAGACCACGTGTATATACTACAGCAGTGTTTTTGAAACTGTAGTTGTGACCCATTATTCCGTCATGAAATTAGTTTGTGGTATGTAGCCAGCATTAAAAAAGAAGACACATGAAATAGACGTTACCATATTGCCTATAGTAAGGGTCGCTTTCATGAAACTTTTGTTTTAAATTGTATGTATGTTATGTGTACTGGGTTATGACGCAGAATATATTTCTTACTGTGACTCGTGATCCACAAAGTTCAAGGTAAAATGTACTTTGAGCAAGACACACTTTAAATGGCAAAATAGTTGAGATCTCAAGGCATGCAGATTTCTTCTTCCTCCTTTGACCTAGTGACAATCTTATTGTGTGGCAGGATAAACTCTGAATTTAATGAAAGCCTAAAATTGACTAGAGTTGAATTTTCAAATTTCTTTCTGCATCCAAATCTTTCTCTTATGTCAGTTGCTGTCGGCCCTTTATGAGAAGGAGTAGGCCTTTAGAAAAAGAGAGAAATGGATGTCCTTTCTCCGTGTTCAGTCTGGCCATGGGCAACTGTACTCTATCAAAGCTGATGGTCTCCATAAGCAGCTGAGGATGGAGTTTGTTTGCTCTGCTGGTCATTGCAATTAAATTATCTGCATCTGGTTTGTTACAGTTCTAGCTTCTAGCACCAGAATTGGGTTCTGGCTTCAAATTCTAGCATCACCTGTATCTTGTGAAGCAGAGATAGGCAACCGTAGTTAAGGATGTCTCACATGCATGCTGTTTAAGATAAAGAATATAATAGAGTCATCAATTTATTTACTTTTGTGCATACAGAGAATAGAGATAATTCCAAGACTCTTCTGATTAATAAAGAGATATGAATGTTATATATCTTCTAAAATAGAGCACTGATTTGAATACTGTTACCCAAGATGAACTGCTAGTATAAGGCCTTTAAAGATGATCTACTATGTTCCACAAGAATTAGACTAAATAAATGTCTCAAAGTTGGTGTTGTTTTAAAACAACCTTCAAAGAGAGTTTCATGATTGCTGAATAAAGAACAGGATTTCATTCCATGAATTGTTTTTCAATTTTCAACTTTATAAAGTTTTTTCTAAATAGGCTGTCTTGCCACGTGCTTCTTTGCCATCCAGAATTCCTTATGTTACTTGAACTGCTAACTTGGAGGAACTAAAGTTTGAAAGCTAGGCAGGATTTTATTTACTACAACTGAATCAGAAAGTATAGAGCCTAAAATAAAAACCTGAAACTTAAAACATTTTCCCCTATATATTTTATTACGAATGCAGTCTAGAGCTTGTTATATTCTTCTTTAGCAGTTGTATTTGCAAAACTCCATAGCAACTGGTTAATATAATGCTTAATTTTCCTCTTTATCTTTTTTCTGTCTTTTTTCTGCCTTTTTGTCCCCCATCTTTTCTTTTTTTCCCCTAGATTTATTGAGGTATAATTGACATAACACTGTAAGTTTAAGATGTACAATGTGTTAATTTGATGCACTTATCTATTACAAAATGATTGCCTCCATCTCTTAGATAATTACCGTTTCTTCTTTTTTTTGGGGGGGGGGTACGCGGGCCTCTCACTGTTGTGGCTTCTCCCGTTGCGGAGCAGAGGCTCCGGACGCGCAGGCTCAGAGGCCATGGCTCACGGGCCCAGCCGCTCCGCGGCATGTGGGATCTTCCCGGACCAGGGCACGAACGCGTATCCCCTGCATCGACAGGCGGACTCTCAACCACTGCGCCACCAGGGAAGCCCACCGTTTCTTTTTTGTGATGCGAACATTTAAGATCTACTCTCTTCGAACAGATTGGTGGTTGCCAGAGGCAGAGTGGTGGAGGGGTCAGTGAAAGGGATGAAGGTGGTCAAAAGGTATAAACTTCTGGTTATAAAATAAATGTCATGGGAATATAATGGACAGCATGGTGACAATAGTTAATAATGCTCTATTGCATATTTGAAAGTCACTACGTGAGTAGACCTTAACAGTTCTCATAAGAAGAAATTTTGTAACCATGTATGGTGATGGGTGTTATTTAGACTTATTGTGGTGATCATTTTGCAATATATACTAATACTAAATCATTACGTTGTGCACCTGAAAGTAATATAATGTTACATATGTCAATTGTATATTTTAAAAAAGCCAAAAACAAACAGAAAAAAAAAAGAAATCATCTTAGTGGGAACTAGGATTTTGACAAAAAAATTTACTATAAATTTGTTATAAAATGTTCCTAAGGACACTTGTGCTATTTTGTGTACTTAACACAGTGTGAATGATAAATCTTGTTTGCAAGGGGTAGGAACATAGGACCAGGCGGACCAGGTTGAAGTCTCCAGCCTTTGACAGGGGCTGTTTGTAATGGGAGACTACCTAAATGTCTATCAATAGGGAGATGGCTAAGTAAACCATGATGTGTCCATGCTGGGAATATTATGTAGCATTTAAGGAGATTGTTATAGGTCTATATCTACCAACTTAGATAAGAATTTTTTTAGTGAATTTAGTTGCAGAATTGGTTGCAGAATATTTGTAGTTTCCAATGTATGTAAAAAAAAAAACCCAGCAAAATACAAACCCACGTGATAGTACTATGTATTCTCTATGGAAATATTAGGCAAATATATAGACAAGCTGGTAACAGTGGTCACCTCTGTGTTTAGGGGAGAGTTTTGGATTTGGGGAGCTGATCAAAGGGAATTTGAGTCTGAACTGCAGTGGTTTTATTTTTTTATCAAGTGAAGTGAATTCAGGTGTTACCTGTATAACAAAAAATTGAAT